TTTACATGATTTGTAGATAGTTTAAACTCGTATCAAAGAGTTCTTGATATGTAGACCTTTTATTCTCGTGTCAATGAAATCTTGATATGTAGACATTTTATGCTCGTGTCAAAGAGCCTTCAAGATTGATTTGTAGATAGTTTAAACTCGTGTCAAGGAGTATTTGAATATGTAGACATTTTATGCTCGTGTCAAGGAGCCTTCAAGTTTGATATGTAGACATTTTGTTCTCGTGTCAAGGAGATCTTGATATGAAGACATTTTATGCTCGTGTCATGAGCCTTCAAGATTGATTTGTAGACCTTTTATTCTCGTGTCAAGGAGATCTTGATATGAAGACATTTTATGCTCGTGTCAAGGAGCCTTCAAGTTTGATATGTAGACCTTTTATTCTCGTGTCAAAGAGATCTTGATATGTAGACATTTTATGCTCGTGTCAAGGAGCCTTCAAGTTTGATATGTAGACCTTTTATTCTCGTGTCAAGGAGATCTTGATATGAAGACATTTTATGCTCTTGTCGAGAAGCCATATAGATAGTTTAGGCTCATATCAAGTAGCATATGTAGATAGTTTAAGCTCATATCAAGGAGCATTTGAATGTGTAGATAGTTTAGGCTCATATCAAGGAGCATTTGAATATGTAGATAGTTTAAGCTCGTATCAAGGAGCATTTGAATATGTAGATAGTTTAGGCTCATATCAAGAAGCATTTGACTATGTAATGGAGCTCTTCATGTAAATTGCCCCCCATGGAAGTTGAAAAGAATATAGAAGACCGGTCTTGTTTCTCCTCCATTCGGCTGAAGACTTCATGGCTTGATGAGGCATCATCCTCAGTTGTCTCCTTGTACAATTTCTTCAAAGAGGTCTTCATGCATCTTCAAAGATCTTCGAACTTGATTTAAAGAGAAGAGATGAAAGGTAGAGAAGGTCCCACTGGGTGTGTCAAATTTGTAACAATAAATTTTATTTGTAGTCCCACTGGGCGTGCTAAATTTGTAACAACAAATTTTATGAAAAACATAAAACTTTTGTACAACTTGATTTTATTT